TACTGCTGAACCCCAACGATGGTTAATAAAAGATACGAAGTGTGACCAGAAGTATGGCCCACTGTTGATGTGAACACAAACTGGGAGAAGAGTTTCGAAAAAAAAGTAATTCATCTATCAAAACCACGTATCTGTGCAGCTTTTGATCCTGATATTCAAATGACAGGAATACTTTAACACATATGCCCATCAAGTTTATGAACAAAATACTCAGAGCTCCTATTATAACCATACCAAAGTAGAAACAACTAAAATGTCCACTTACTGTGATTAGGACAATTACAATACATACGTACAATGGAATACCACCCAACAATAAGAAAAAGGAACATGGCTATCTACAAGATGGATGTCACAAACATAATACCGAAAGGAAGACAAAGATGTACCATTAAACATGAGCTCAAAATATGGAAAACATCTTGTTTGAATTCAGGGTAATATGTCCTGGGTGTTCATGTGCTGGTTGGGCTGGAGAATGCATGAGGGTTAAGGGCATTTGCTGCTCTTCAGAGCACTGGGTTCAACTCCCAGCATCCACATGGCAGCTCGAGACTGTGCAGCTGCAGCTCTAGGGACCCGACACCCTCATCTGACTTCCTCGGGCTCTTCCACACACAGTACACACGCGTGCGTGCACACACGCACTGCACACACACGCACTGCACACACACGCACTGCACACACACGCACTGCACACACACACACACACACACACACACTACGCTAACAGTCTCTGACACTGTATATATAAACATCGGAGTTCGAGGAGACCAGCAGGGCAGTCATAACAAATGGTTTAGACCGACCTTCAGTCCTCTCAGTTCTGAACTCAACGGGTCTGTTCACTTCCTGAGTATTCACCTCCAATGATACATTTTTCTGTGTTCACACTATCATTCATAAGATTTATGGGAAGAGGGATCGATTCCTGGAGGAGACAGGTTAAGAGACTAAATCCGCAACGTCAGCAATTAGGAGGTAGGGGCAGGAGGGGCAGGAACAACTGCAGCCTCAGCAGCTCCTGGTTCAAAAAAGAGCAAGTAAAGGACATCAGAGCAGCCGCACTGCGGGACAAGAGGGATCTAAGTGCTAAGTGCGAGCACACGCCTTCTCACCATGTGGCCTTCAGACTATTCTCACTGGCCCAGGGCTTAAGGACAAGATCAAATCTGATTTGATCTTTCTATTTTGAGTTATCCTAAGCTCTCAATAAAAGAAAATGAAATAAAGTAAATAAAGAAAAGAATCCAGCCAGGCATGGTGGCGCACACCTTTAACCCCAGCGCTTGGGAGGCCGCGGCAGGCGGATCTCTGTGAGCTCGAGGCTCTGGGCTACAGAGCGAGTTCCAGAAGAGTGACACAAAGAAACCCTGTCTCAAAAACAAACAACAACAACAAAAACCCACAAAAAGTAAGTAAATAAATAATTTGTTTTAAAAAAATGAAAGAATCCAACGTGAGGAAAATACAAATGAGTTCATTACACACTTTTGCTCCGCACTAAACAAGATTACTTTACAAAGCCATGTGGATTTCAGTGTCCTAAACATCCAAAGTAGCTTGAGTCAACACAGTAGCCGATCACAAGACCTGGGGCCGGAGCCACAGCCAGCAGCAGAGAAGCAGCATCTGCCTCCAGAAGACAGTGATAACCAAGTGTAGCTCCTTAAGGACCCGAGAGCCACACTGGAGCCGTGAACAAGTCCAGCTCTCATTTTATTTACTAGCTAAGCAGCTTTCATTCTGTAAACAGCACATAAATGAAAGCTGCTTGTTTTTCACACGTTATGGTGCACATGTGGGGGTCAGAGAGAAACCTCTGGAAGCTGGTTCTCTCCTGCCACGTGTGTCCCAGGAAGCAAGTTCAAGCAGTCAGAGCTGGCAGTGAGAGTAAGTGTCTTTACTAACTGGGTCATCCTGCCAGCCACCGTGAAATGGAAAGTCTTATCATTTACTATACTCCTAAATTTATTTTTAAAGTTAACTTAAAAACATCACCACTAATACATGAATGTGTAGTAATAAGGGCGGCGGCGGGGCTGCGTCCCCAACACCCCAGCCGCCTGCTCGGCTAGCTTATGCCCGAAATAACAACACACAAACTGTATTCATTTAAACACCGCTTGGCCCATTTCTATCTAACCTCTTCTAGGCTAATTCTCACATATTAATTTAGCCCATTTCTAATCATCTGTGTTGCGCCCCTAGGTGCGCTTACCGGGAAGATTCTAGCCTATGTCCATCCTGGGTCGGAGCTTCTTAGCGTGCATCTGCCCAGGAGCCAGGAGCATGGCGTCTCTCTCAGGCGTCTGCTCCCGAGAGGAGAGCTGTCGAGTCTGACCTCACTTCCTCTTCCTCCCAGCGTTCTGTTCTGTTTACTCCTCCCACCTATCCTCTAACCAATAAAATGGGCCAAGGCAGTTCCTTTATTAGCCAATGACCTTCCTCCATCATGAATGTGTTTATTGCATTTAAAACATTACTAAAACACACTTGCACAGTATGATAGAGAGAATGTGTGATATTGTGCAAACAACTTGAAGTCTAAAAAACATAGTATACAACTTGTCATTTAGCACAGTGACAGTAAATCACTTACACACATTAAGTGACCAAAAAGAAAAAGAAAAGAAAAAAGAAACAAAGAATAATCTAGGACTGTAGGGCTTTCTTCTTTTGCATTGTTTCATTTCTCAATATTTTACCTATTATTCAAAGTCTCTCAGGGTTGGAGTACTCATTTGGGCGGAGGATGGGATGGGACTGTGGTTGGTATGTAAAATGATTTTTTTTTAAATATTTATTTATTATGTACACAATATTCTGTCTGTGTCTATATCTGCAGGCCAGAAGAGGGTACCAGATCTCATTACAGATGGTTGTGAGCCATCATGTGGTTGCCAGAAATTGAACTCAGGACCTTTGGAAGAGCAGGCAATGCTCCTAACCACTGAGTCATCTCTCCAGCCCCATGTAAAATGAATTTTTAAAAACCCTAATGGGCTAGTAATGAATGCTCTATTGCTTCCTTTCTATTATAACAATATTTAAATTTGGGGCTGGAGAAATGGCTCAGAGGTTAAGAGCATTGCCTGCTCTTCCAAAGGTCCTGAGTTCAATTCCCAGCAACCACATGGTGGCTCACAACCATCTGTAATGGGGTTTGGTGCCCTCTTCTGGCCTTCAGGCATACACACAGACAGAATATTGTATACATAATAAATAAATATTTAAAAAAATATTTAAATTTCAGTTCTCAACTATGCTGCTTGAGGGAATAATCCTCAGACATACACTTTAATTTAAATGCTATTTTCCAGGTTCTGTGTGCTGCATGAAGACAAGATTTTGTCTGTTCCTAGTGGAGCTCACAGCCTCTCAGCAGTTCACTAGTGATTTTGTCTGTTCCTAGAGGAGCTCACAGCCTCTTAGCAGTTCACTAGCTAGTCTTTCAGTAGGGAAAGATCTCCGGGAGACTTTACTGCATTTTCCCTATAAACTAGAATAGTACATCAGTTACGAGCACCCCCATAAAAAGGTGGAGGGAAGCTATAGTCAGGGGCTGGAGAGTTAAGAGCGCTGGCTGCTCTTCCAGCGGACCTGAGTTCAACTCCCAGCATCCACATGGCAGCTCATAACTGTCTGGAACTCCTGTTCCAGAGTTCAATACCCTCACACCGGCATACACGTAGGCAAAACACCAAATCACATAAAATAAAAATACATTTTAAAAATTAAAACACACACACACAACTAGTACAGTCTAAACTTCCCTCACTCTGTTCAGTGACAAAAGCACTGGCTTTTAGATGATAGGCCACACGTTAACTTGGCTTTTAGATAGGCCACAAGTTAACTTTTATTATAAAGCTAAAACTCAATTTTGTCTCTAGTCTCCAAAATAATGTTCTGTGGGGAAAAAAATAGGAAATGGAAATTAGCGTAAAATACTTTGGTGGTTTGGATGAGAATGGCTCCCCTAGGTTCGCATCTGAATATCTGTTTGCAGTTGGTGGGCTGTTTGGGAAGGATTAGGAGGTGTGCTTGCTAGAGAAGGTGTTGTGGGGGTAGGGGTAGGCTCGGCGGTTTCAGAAGTTCAGTCCCTGTCTCTGTCCCCCACTTGTGGGCTATATGTGAGCTCTCAGCTGCTGCTCCAGGGCCAGGCCTGCCTGTCTGTCTGCCTGCCTGTCTGCCTGCCTGTCTGCCTGCCTGACCCCACAACCCCCACCATGATGATCACGGACTAGCAAGCCTCCAATTAAATGCCTTCTTTTATATGCTGCCTTGGTGATGGTGTATCCTGACAACAACAGAAAGTAAGCAAGGCAAATACGCACCAATGTTCTCACACTAATGTTACACACTAAGTAGTGAGGACTTGGTATTACAATGTATTTTACACCAGCCGGCACACTAAGTAGTGAGGACTTGGTATTACAATGTATTTTCCACCAGCTGGCAACACTAAGTAGTGAGTACTTCATATTACAAGGTATTTTTCACCAGCTGGCACACTAAGTAGCGAGTACTCCCTATTACAATGTATTTTATACCAGCTGGCATGGATTTAGCACTGACTAACGTGATGGACCCAGTGCTAAGCATTTACAGGGAATCACAAAGAACATAGCTAGAGGTGATTTACAGGTTTAGGAGAAACCATTTTAAAAGAACTGAAAAATACCTGGTTAAATTAATTTTACTTGGTACAAGTGAAGTCCTTGTCCAAAGAAAAGGGGGGATGGGGAGCAGGGAATGAACTCAGAATCTTAAGTATTTCATTAACTGATTTTTAAGTAGAATAAAAAAGCAGAAATTAAAATTTAAACTTATAAATTCATGTCAAGAAGTTGCTCCCAAGCAGTGTCACTATACTCTTACCGTTTTACCGCAAACCTACCGTAAAATTAAGAGGAAAAACACAAGTCTATCTAAAATATACAATTAAAAGCTATTTTAAAAAAAAAAAAAAAACCCAAAAACTAAAAACCTCTTACCTGAGCATGAAAATTGGACATAGTCGTCGTCTCTATATCTTTCTTTCCCAATATCTCCATTTTCACTGGTGAATTGGGAAAATTATATGAAAAGTAGTCTAAAAAGTCGGGTAAGTAAGTAGCTGCCCCATGAACAATACCCATGACATAGAAAGCTGCAGAACTTTCACTTTCACTGAACACTAACCCCACAAATTCTTCTGCAAATCTCTGCATCTCCACAGGAGACAGGCAGGAGAGCTCATTACTGTAGGCATGGACCACAGACGCCCCTCCGTTAGGCTGGTGCTCGATATGAACGAGCCGCTTGAACTCCAGCGTGTCCAACCTCTTCAGGTTATGCTGAATGCGCGGTTCCTTCAACGAGACAAATGGAGATTCACTGTTACCAGAAACCTTAGAGTCACAGTTCTTGGCGTTTAAATGTTTTCCAATGTAATCCTTTATGTGATCATTTAAGACGCCTTTGGCTTCTTGACCCTCAGCCTCAGACAGCAATCCTGCACAGATGGTCTGAATAGACTTGCTATACATTTTTGGACGCTTCCGCTTTTCATTCTCTTTGTGTTTCTTTTTCTTTTTCTTCTTTACTTTCTTAATTTGCAAGTCTTCTATATTTGTTTTTGGTTTCTCCTTCCCACCTGTTGGAAAAGAATTTTTTTGAAACTCTGTATTTTAATTAGTTTTTAAAAACATGCTTTTAGAAACTGTTCTGTTACAAGTAAATTTACTTCTGACACTTGTGAAAAATCACTGACATTCATTTTCTATTCAAACTTTACTTTGTCTTTCTTTCCGTCTCGTCCATTCCCTGCCTTTACACACAGAGACAGCAGGCTCAGGACAGCTAACAGACCCAGCAGGCGCATTTCAGAAAGTGTGCTCTTCAAAGGTAGAAAGCAGGAGCTCAGAAACAAATGTCTGCAATACCGTTCCGACAGTTCTCATGGATGTACTGTAAAGTTTATTTTGTCTGAGGCTTTAAAAAATCAAATCCAGCAAGGCAGTGGTGGTGCACACCTTTAATTCCAAACTTAGAAGGCAGAGGCAGGCGAATCTCTGTGAGCTCGAGGCCAACCTGGTCTACAAAGCTAGTTCCAGGACACTCAGAGTTGCTATCCAAAAAATACTGTCTTAAAAAAAAAATCAAAAACAAAAGAAGGAAGGAAGGAAGGAAGGAAGGAAGGATCATATCCAGAGACCAAGGAGACTTATAGATGACAAAGTCAGAAGCATTCCATAGTGAGACATCCGCATCAGAGCAGGGCACAGTACACAGCACCCCAGTCCCTCCTCAGTAAGCTACACTTGTGTCTACTGTAGTCCACGACAGTGTAGAGTTCCAAGTCAAGACTCAGCAGGAACTCTACAGGAGGTGACAAAAATCAGAGCCCTCATACACTAGGTCCCAATGATGCCCAGATGCTAGGTAAAGAGAGAAACAGGATAGACGGACAATACAAGCTTATATCCTAAAGAGTTTCTGTGAGCAAAAGCAGCAGACCCTGGGTCAAAATTCCAGAAAGTCCATGGACTATTTAACTAGAAAACTTAAATGTACACAAAAGCACACACATTAATTATTTACATATACACACATAATAATATTTCTCTATTTTCCTTATATAGAAATTAGCACACCATTTCTATGTGTGTTTTATAAAAAAAAAATTTCCTAAGATAAGTATAAAAAGAACAGCAAATTAACAATTCAGAGAAGAAGACTGTTTCTACTGCTTCCTTTTGGCTTTTGTGTTGAGTATGTCTTTGTACCACAAGCATCTGGACCTTGGAGACCAGAAGGAGAGGTGAGAGCCCCTGAAACCGAGTTACAGATAGGTGTGAGCCTCCACAAGGACTCATTACACCCAGGTTCTCAGAAAGAGCAGCTACTATCTCAACCATGACTCATCTCCCTAGCCCCCTTCCGAGGATCAGCCTGCAGAGACTACAGTGCTGAGGTACAAACCTGAGCCGTACACTCAGCTTTATTACCGTTCTTAGGATAGTCCAGATAAAATTATAACAACCTGCCTATTTTGGGGGAGTGGGTGAGTCTCAAACATGGCGTACAGTTTAGGATAACCCTGAACTTGATCCTTCCTCCTCCCTTCCCCAAGCTCTGAGGTTTTAGGCATGCCCACCACACCCAGGGTTGTGCAGTGCTGAGGACAAGATCCAGGGCTTCCGCACGGTGGGTGGACTTCATCACCTGAGCCACATTCCAGCCCTCACAAGGCTTCTTTCAGCATTTTCCATGTTCACATGTCTCTTATTTCTTTATTTTTCATGATTGAGATGTTCTGCCTAATTCAAAACTAAATCTCTTAGGTCAATTCCCAAAAGACTTGAATCTCAAAAAGAACCACCTCCACCTAGTATCTTTTCTTTATTCAACATTGTTTTCTCTCTCTCTCTGTCTCTCTCTCTCTCTCCCTCCCTCCCTCCCTCCCTCCCTCTCTCTCTGTGTGCGTGTGTGTGTGTGTGTGTGTGTGTGTGTGTGTGTGTGTTTACACAAGTCTGCAGGTGCATGCCACAGAATGTGTGCTGCAGTCAGAGGAAAACCTTCAGAGTCCATTCTTTCTTTCCATGTAGGTTCCAGACATCAAGGGATCAAATTCAAGTCGTCTAAGTCAGTGGTTCTCAAAATGTGAGTGACGACCCATCAGATATCCGGATAGCAGACAGTTATTATTCATAACAGTAGCAAAATTATAGTTATAAAGTAACAGTGAAATAGTTTTGTTGGTTGAAGGGTCAATACACCATGAGAAATTGTATCAAAGGGTTGAAGTATTAGCCAGGCTGAGAAAACAAATCCCGTCTAGGTATGTATTACAAACTAGGGACTGTGTGCTGTCCAGGCGCTGAGTACTCCTCTAGGATGTAAGAAGCCCCTGCGTCAATTTCCAGCACTACATAAGCCAGGTATGGGAGCAGACAACTGTAGCCCCTGACCTCAGAGGCAGAGGAATTCAAGGTCGTCCTTGGCTAAGCGTTAAGTACTAGACTAACCTGTAATACATGAGATACTGTCTCAAAAATTAATTAACTATTCAAATATGACCAAAAATTTAAAGAGTAAGATAGTAGAGTAACCAAATGAAAGAGCAAAGAAGTTTTAAGAATAATCCAATAAAATAAGAAAAAAAGCCTATCAATAAGATTACAAATATAATTTAAAGGGTATAGGTTGCTTGCTTGGTTTTGGTTTTTTGAGACAGTGTTTCTCTGCATGGCCTCGGCTGTCCTGGAACTCAGAGATCCACCTACCTCTGCCTCCTGGGAGTGGGCATTAAAGGCTGCACCACCACTGCCCAGCTTGGGCATAAACCCCATAATGGAAACTACATGCAAAAAGTACAAATAAAATTATTTTGAAATAAACATCACTGTAATGAAAATGTTTAAAAACTAATTAAATTCACACAGCACATTTTTGTATTAAAAAAATATCCTGTAACCAACTATATTACTTTGAAATCAAATAGACAACATATTGTCTATTAGCTAGAACAAAAAAATTATAACAGCAATTTGAAAAGGCAAGCTTAATCAATAGGAGATTCTTAAGTTGGGCATCAAGAAGCTAAAATATCCTGTCAAATTACTTTATAATTAACTATTACAGTGTGCAAAGATGCTGTACCTAAGACTGTTGGGCTGGCCCTTGCCTGGAGTTGGAACCCTGAATTCTGAAGGCTCCTACAATGTACTTTGCTGTTTTCACTGGCACAAACAGTACTGTGTAAGTTGAGTACTTGTTTTCTATATGCTAAGTACTTGTATTCCTTCTGAAAGTCTAAATGTTGGTCCACGGTAGACAGATGTACTGATGTACCAACTCCCAATAAAACCCTGAGTCACTAATGAGCTTCTCTGGTCCAAAACGCTCTATGCAGGTTGTCACAACTTACTGAAATAAGCATAATCCTATGTAACTCCACTTAGAGGATTCTCAGAAACCTGTGCTTCACAGGTATCGTCCCATGCACTTTTCTCTCTGCTTATTTTCCTTTGCATACTTTCATAATAATAAATCATATCATAGGAAAAACTATTATGCTGGGCCCTGTGAGTCTTGCCACCTCTTCACAGAACCTGAATGTAGGCTTGGAAGCCCCCCAAAAACAGAGGTAAAATATATTCTTTCTGTTAAGTCAAACTAAGGAACTAGTTTGCAGGGGAAAGATTCTAAGAAGACCACGGAATCTCTGATTCATTCTGTTTCACACACTGTAAGACTTTAAGACAATCCTGAAGCCATTTTTGACAATTCTGAATCCTCTCAGCCTCTGTGCCATAGTGCTTCCCCTCCTCCCCTGGGAACCAAGGACCTAACAGCTACACTTGCACGTACTCAGTTCCTGAACAATTACCCATATACGTAAGTTTTGGTTCGGTCCCCTGGGAAACGGGGTCAAAATGACCTCTTACCTCATCTGATCTGGCAACAGCTCACCAGTCAATTATTGGTAATAGTCCTTTCAAATAAGCCAATCAGAATAGTCAAAGAACAACCCCCCTTGCTTCTGTGGCCCCTTTAAAAGTAGACTGTACCCGCTATTCGAGGTCCCTCGGCTTCCCGAATGCTGGGGGACCCTGTCATGACAGAATTAATAAAATCCTCATGCTTTTGCATCGGCTCTGTGTATGAGATGGTCTCTGGGAGCGACTCCTTCTCGGTGTTTGGACGCTAGAGTCCAACAACACGCAGTCACTAGATGAAAACTGTAGAGTACCTTAGGAAATGTCATTCTGCATAGCAACACTCTCGTCTTACAGTAAAAAACACTGAAAGTTCGCATTACTCTAAACCTGTAATTCTAACAAAACCCATTGACTCTGATATAATAAAAGCCCTTGAAATACATTTAGAAACTAGAGCTGGTGTCTAAGGAATGTGGACAACTCTCAAATTATGTATGACTCAGAGCAAAAGTATGCAAAGCGCAGAACAGGCAAGGACACAGAGACGCGGGGCGAAGGACTCCACACATGAAGACCCAGAGCCAAAGTGGGGTGCCAAACTGAAAGCCAAAGAAACAGGAACAGGAAAACAAAGATACACATTCAGCAAGAGATAAAGGGACACCCACAAAAGACAAACACCCCCTCCAAAAAACTGAAACAAGCATATCAACAACACATAGCAGGCAAGGTGGCGTGCATGTGGCTCACTCAGAAGCCTTGGGCCAGCGTGGGCTATACAACCATCTCCAGGAGAGCCTAGGAAGACCTGCCTAAAAGAACAAGGGGGGGAGTGAAGGAAAGAGTGGGGGAGGGGGCTGAGGACAGGAGGAGGAAAGGGAACAGAAGCATACACTCTAGGGGGCAAATTATAAAAAACTTTCTTTAAAAGTAAAACTCTGCAGCAGGGTGGTGATAGCGCACACCTTCAATCCCAGCACCCAAGAGGCAAAAGCAGGTGGATCTCTGTGAGTTCAAGGCCAGCCTGGTCTATAGATTCCAGGACACCCAGGACTACACAGAGAAACCCTGTCTTGAAAAACCAAAAGATAGATATACAAATAGATAAATAAATAAGTGTTAATTGATACTAATTTCTACCACTAACCTCAGTATATCTTTCTTGCTAACGAAATAAAAGATAAATTTAACCCAGGAAAACTAGACCATCTTTCATATATGATATAAGAAATAACACATTCAATTCTATTACCACACACAGAAAAAAGAAGCAACAACAATTACTAATATTCAGTCTGTGGTCTCTGGGAAGCAGTTTCAGTTTCTGGGGTTACGTGGGTTTGTAGGGTGGTATGAGCACAGGTGGAGGCCGGGGACAGTCCTAGTGTCACCTCAGGACACCATCAACTCCTTCAGGACAGGTCTGTTAGTAACCAGGAGACCACAGTTAGGCAAGGCTGGCCAGAAAGTGCCAGGATTCCCCCTGTCCCACATCCCCAGCCATGGGAGAGCCACAGGGCATCACAAGGCCTGTTAACTTTAACATGGTTCTGGAGACCAAACTCACGCTTAGGGGAAGACACTTCACACAGATCTGCACCCTGGCCAACAGTGTCTTTGCCAAGGCACCTTCTGATTGTTTAATCGAGTTGGATGGCCAGCAGCTAGGCAGGAGAGAGAGAAGGAGGAGGAATCTAGACAGCGATTTCACCAGCACACTAGCATGTGCCGTAATCGAGCCACGTGGTAGAACACAGATTCAAAATATGGGTGAAGTTATAAGAAGAGTTAGCTGGGGAAAAGCCTAAGCCAAGGCCATACTTTCATAATTATTAAGTCTCGGGGTCATTATTTGCAGGCTGGTGGTCCAAAGATAGTCCAACAAGATTTTTAACAACACAATGCTGTCATTCTTTCTGCCATGATTTACCCCATCTGTGATCTTTGGTGTGCTATCAATAACCTAGGACACTGTTTTTAACCTATTACACCTGCTCATGAGGAAAAATCTTTGACATGATATAATGATAACATCTTAAAATACCAAAATTAAAATATTTTCTTATAACTTAATTTTAATGAAGTATGTATGTAAGATGGTTGGAACATATGCACATGTTAAAAAATAGTTGGCAGAATTTGGTAGAAAAGGATGAGACCCACTAAATAAGTTTATGTAATGCATTTGTTTAAACTAAGAGCAAGTAATCCCACTTTGTAAAACAATAAAACTTTCCTATTAAAATCTTTTCACATACACATAATATATACATACATATGTGCAGTCACAAGAAACCTTGTATCGTTCTCTTTTTTGGGTTTTTTGTTTTGTTTAGCTTTTTGGGGGGTTTTTGGGGTTTTTTTTTTTTTTTTAGTATTTTACAATTTTTTTTTTGTTCTTTTTAAATCAGGGTCTTGCTATGTAACCCAGAATACCTAGAATGCAGCACTCTCCTATCCAAGGTGGCCTCATGCTTCAGTCTCCTGAGAGCTAGGATACAGTTGTGAGCCACCATGCTCAGGTTCAAACACACACACACACACACACACACACACATTTGTTTACGTATGTGAGTGTTCTGCCTGTGTTATGTATGTGCACACATGCACGCTTGGTGCCCAAGGAGGTCAGGAGAAGGCACTGGATCCCCTGGAACTAGTTACAGACGGCTGTGAGCCACTGTGCTGGAGCTGAACCTGAGCTGTCTCAGAGAGCACTGCGCATTGACTCCCGTCTCCCTAACTCCAGTTCAGTGACAGTTTTACAGAAGTCACAGAGGAAGTGAGATCCATAAGAGAGTTAGTAAGCTAGGGAGTTAATTTACATTTTCAAATATCTGTATGCTACGGCTTGTAACACAGAAGAAACCTATGAGGAGAAAATAAAAGACAGATGCCAAAAGAGAACTGTAGCACACTGGATCCTAAGAGTAACTGCCTCTAACAAGCTGAGCATTCCGTTGTCCCACAACATCAACAGACGACTCTATTCCCTTACCGCGTCCACACGATGCTCAACAACACTTGGTTCTTACAGACGAGGGCCACTATCCAAATGAATCATGTGAGTACCTATACACTCTAGACTGAGGAGGAAGGATAGCACTGGTTTTGTTCCTTTTTGGTCCCAAAATTATTCCTTCAAAGATGTTTCCGATATTCATATCTACTTGTTGAATTTGACATCCTATACTTTTCCTCACATAATCTGCACAGCAATATTAATATCAATTACCTCCACTGCACAGTAACCACTTCCTTAAAGTTTCCTGGTCATCCCAACGATTACAAATTAGTCTAAACCTACTTCATTCTCTTTGTTTGCATCGCTAGTTCCACCTATATTCAGTTCACAATGTCTCCTAAATTTTCTGTCACTTCAAAATCAAGGTAAATACTGTATATTCCTAGAAAATTCTCAGTTCATAGGTATATTTTCATATATACCATCCCTAAGGATCTGGTTGCCAAAATTATGTGAGCCTAAGTATTCTGAGGCCACAGACTGCTACTCTAATAGCATAAATGTGTATCACTGCACACCCAAATAAAGCACTGAACAAGTATCTGGCTGAGCCAGGAGGGTGCAGTTAGGTAAACACTGGAGTATGAAAGACACCGCAGCTACTCAAGCCCAAACTCAGAGGTCTACATTCTGGGTCCATGGCACAGTGCGAACGCATGAGGGAGCAGGGAGGGCTTTATTCCCTGGAACCACACGCACAGGGCGTAGTGTGACCGCCCCTCATCCTAGCCTGTCATCCTAGCACTGGGCCGTGGAGAGCAGGTCAGAAGGGAAAGGCCATTCCTGCATATCCAGTGTGAAACCCGGGGGACTGGAGAAATGGTTCCGTGGTTGCAGACAACCTGAGTTCAGCTCCCAGCACTCACATGGCAGTAACTCGAGTTTCGGGGAATCTGACACTGTATTCTGGTCTCCACCAGCACCAGGCACAGACAGAGCACATATTTACATGTGCAGGCAAAACACTCATACACACAAAGTTTAAAAAATAAACTACAGCTGGCATGAAGGTACACGCCTTTAACCCAGAGCTCCAAAGGCGGGCGGGCGGGAGCGAGGGAGGGAGGGAGGAAATAAAATAAGTAAATAAAAATTTAAAGAAAAATAATAAAACAACAACAATAACAAAAGCAAAGGGGCAAAATAAACAGAACAAAGGGATTGAAAACATTAAACAAGAAGTCATCACCTAACTGGGGATACATGTCTTTATGGTGTAAAGAATATTACAGGAAAAAACATCCTGGGGTTGGAGAGCTGGCTCAGTGCTTACGAACATCTGCTACTCTTCCAGAGGACCTGGGCTCAGTTCCCAGCTCCCACACTGAGTGGCTTGCAGCCACCTGTAACCCCAGTTCCAAGAGATCCGACAACCTCTTCTGATCCCTGAGGACACTGCATGCATGTGATGAACATACATGTACACTCAGGCACACGGACATAAGATAAATCTATGAATAAAACATCTGACTTGTACAAAAGTTTATTATGTAAAGAAACAAAGAATATTTGTAAATATGACAAAGAATGAAATGAAAAGAGTCCACATTTTCCATAAGTAATAAAAACTCGTTACTGTGTTTCACACCAGCTACAGGAGAGTCTTATTTTCTTCCTTGTGGATATAAATGTTAACTGTTACCCAAATCCAATCTGAAATTAATGGAAGTCAAAGGGTTCTGATCAACAACTAACAGCCCTGTCTGTCCTGGAACTGGCTTTGTAGACCAGGCTAGCCTCAAACTCAGAGAGATCCTCCTGCCTCTACCTTCTGTGTGCTGGGATTACAGGTGTGCGCCATCCCCAGCTGTTTTTTTTAACAACTATCAATCTAACAGAATAGCCAATGCCTTCCCAGCTTCCTAACAAAAGAACGTCACTGATTCATACCTAACCACCTAAGTGAATTTGAGACTGTTCTTATCTCTATTCTAAGATATGTTCTGATTTTTTATAGAATTTGTTATGTTGCTGTCCAATACACTACCCCAAAATTCTTCTCCCTACCTTCTCCCACGTACAAACACAAACTGAACAACTGACTGAACACATAGCACAGGCCTTTCTTTCCTTCCTTTTTTTTTTTTTTTTTTTGTGCCTGTCCTGGCATTAGCTCTTGTAGATCAGGCTGGCCTCAAACTCACAGAGATCCGCCTGCCTCTGCCTCCCGAGTGCTGGGATTAAAAGCGTGCGCCACCACCGCCCGGCTGCATAAGCCTTTCTTTAAACCCAGCCTCAGGAGGCAGAGGCAGGTGGATCTCTATGAGTTCAAGGCCAGCCTGGTCTACAGAGTGAGATCTAGGACAGCCAGGACTAAAGAGAGAAACCGTGTCCTGAAAAGAAAAACAAAAACAAGATACTCTTCAGCAAGCAAGGAAGAAAAGGAGACAGGGCCCCTTGTGGTTTAGCTCAGGGTGAACTGTCCCTCTCAGCCCTGCTCTGCGATTCCGCTGTGAGGAGAGCATTCGTCACCAATCCTCTCATGCCAGAGGTTACTGTGGCCTTTTATTCCAAATTATATCAACGCATACATCAGACTACAAACCTGTTTCTATATAAACCTACCCATAAAAGCCTGGCAGCCTGCAGAGTACAGGCCCAGCGCTAGGGCTGCTCTTCACTCTCAGGAAAAATCATTGCCAGATAGCATCCTTATGTCACTCGCCTGGTGACCAGTGTACTGAACATTATAAATACAAAGTTCACAATACAAACTTACTTTTCAGCAGAATCTTTACATCTCCATTTTCCTTCTTGATCTCACTCATTACTTTGTGTTTCTTTTTTTCTCTCTCTTTTTCTTTGTCGTTCTCTTTAATTTTGTCTTTGATTTTATCTGAAAAGACAAAAAATATTTAAAACTGTTAGAAATCTTTATTCTCCATGAACTTTAGCTCAATTTCTAGACATATCCATAAGAAGACTGAGCGTGGTCATCCGCGCCTCTGATCTCAGTGAGCTGGAGGCCAGTGTGGTCTACACATGAAGTCCGGGGTAGCAAGGACAGCAAAGTGACACCTGATCACCCCAAAAAAGAACAAAAACACAAACAAAATAAACATTATACACACAAAAATAATGATGACAGGAAAAAAATTCCCTTTTCCTTTCTCAGTTTTAGGTCAAATTTCTACATTTCTTTCACTGAGCACACAAAAACATATGTATGAAAACGTCTGAACAAAACCCATTCGTCTGCTTATTAGTTTTTAAAAAGCCAAAACTGTGAGTGTCTCAAAGGGGCAACACATTAATTAAATCTCTTCAAAATAATTAATCACATCACTTTTGCTTAGAACAAATTAAATTCTCCTTGCTTCTGTCTAACTAAAAGAAGAAAACACGGTTGGTGTCAGCAGGTCCTAGGGGACACAGACTGGGGAGATAGTTAAAGTGCAGGCTTGGGAAAACAGGGTGTAGCTGCGCCTCACAGAAGAGCAGGGGACAGAGAAAAGGAGACCTCCAGACATTTCTCTGTTCTCCCATATGTTTTTTGGAGGACTGCAGGGTAGAGAATGGCTGTCATCTTTGGAACACTCCTACGTATCTGACGTGTGAACACGCTAGTTTTGCACAGCAAGAAGGATGACTGTGTGCATCTCCCACAACTCAGCACCTGGAGCACAGCAAGGATGACTGAGGGCATCTCCTACAACTCAGCACCTAGAGCACAGCAAGGATGATTGAGAGCATCTCCCACAACTCAGCACCTGGAGCACAGCAAGGATGACTGAGAGCATCTCTCACAACTCAGCACCTGGAGCACAGCAAGGATGACTGTGGGCATCTCCCACAACTCAGCACCTGGAGCACAGCAAGGATGACTGAGAGCATCTCCCACAACTCAGCACCTGGAGCACAGCAAGGATGACTGAGGGCATCTCCCACAACTCAGAGCACCTGGAGCACAGCAAGGATGATTGTGTGCATATCCCACAACTCAGCACCTGGAGCACAGCAAGGATGACTGAGAGCATCTCCCACAACTCAGAGCACCTGGAGCACAGCAAGGATGACTGTGTGCATCTCCCACAACTCAGAGCACCTGGAGCACAGCAAGGATGACTGAGGGCATCTCCCACAACTCAGCACCTGGAGCACAGCAAGGATGATTGTGTGCATATCCCACAACTCAGCACCTGGAGCACAGCAAGGATGACTGAGAGCATCTCCCACAACTCAGAGCACCTGGAGCACAGCAAGGATGACTGTGTGCATCTCCCACAACTCAGCACCTGGAGCACAGCAAGGATGACTGAGAGCATCTCCCACAACTCAGAGCACCTAGAGCACAGCAAGGATGACTGTGTGCATCTCCCACAACTCAGCACCTGGAGCACAGCAAGGATGACTGAGGGCATCTCCCACAACTCAGAGCACCTGGAGCACAGCAAGGATGACTGAGGGCATCTCCCACAACTCAGAGCACCTGGACAAAGGGGGCCTGCAGGTCTGGCAGAGCCGTTTATACTGCACACAAAAGCAAGCAAAGCAAAGGCTTTTTTTTTTTTTCCCAAATAAGGCCCAGAAACTCGCTGTTTTCTCTGCAGTTTTCAGTTCTGTTACACTGGTATGCTGTTCAAGACTTTTGAGGTCAGTACTTAATTTTTCTGTCTTTTCTTCCTCTACTTACCAATGCCATTCCAGATTCCTTGCTCAAATGTATTATTTCAACATTTCTGCTAATTACACTTAAGAATGCCTTTGCCTAACCCAACTCAGTCTGCCAAAATCATATGTTCCTTTTTCAAGAATTCCTTTATCCCTACCAATTAAAAATGATTTTATGCCAGGCGGTGGTGGCGTACACCTTTAATCTCAGCACTCGGGAGGCAGAGGCAGGCAGATCCCTGTGAGTTCGAGGCCAGCCTGGTCTATAAAGCAGGTTCCAGGACAGCTAGGACTGTTACACAGAGGTTACACAGAGAAACAGTCTTAAGAAACCAAAGGGGGAAAAAGAGAGGAAGGAAGGAAAGAAGGGACAGAGGGAGAGAGGGAGAGAAGGGATGGAGGGAAGAAAGGAAGGAAAGTAGGAAGAAGGAAAAAAGACTATGATCCTCCTAGATGTGATGGAGAAAGCTTACTGTAGACAAGAGAAAAACACAGCTAGACTAGGCAGAGACATCTGAGAAAGTGCACAGTGGACATGATCAGCAGGCTGAACTGGGCCATGTGGAAATGGGGAGAGGAGAGGGAGAGCCAGGAGGCAAAGAGGTCAAAGGGTAAATTGGGCTGGCATAATGGCTGGGTTCCATAAGAACCAGAGTAGTTTGGGTAGGCTCCAGGTGTGCTGGCCAGTACGACCCTGTAACAGGTAGGGACTGAGGGATGCTGGGAGAATGGGACTGGGGTCTGCTCTGATATGTTAGTAGGCACCTCCTGGTTTGAAACCTAATGATCTAGCGTTATTCACTCTCCAATGAAATTACAAACAGTTTAGTTTGCATTCCCCGCCCCCTACAGCAGGCAATACCTCTGCACTTGTTTAATTCCTGTAAGATACAAGCAGAAGGACAAAACAGGAGAGTCCTAATACAAAGTAAAAAAAAAAAAAAAAAAGAAAGATACAGAATTAGCCAAACATGTAGTGTGCACCTTTATGCGGCACAAATTCTAATTGTTCTTAATAATAAAAACCCAGAGTCAGATATTAGAGGGTGAAAGCTGAGAGGTCAGAGAAGCAGAACAGTCAGTCACTAGAGAGTTCTTACCTCTACCGATGCTCAGACAAAATGGGCATCCCGTCTCCACGAATCCTCAGACTACGCCTGAGCTTCTGTCCCCTCCCACCTTTTATACCGGCCTCCACTCCTTAGGATTAAAGGTGTGCGATCCCAAGGGCTGGGATCACCTTTGTGTGAGCTCTGTCTCTCTTTTAGACAGATTCAATTTCGTGTAGCCCAGGGTGGCCTTGAACTCGAGGAGGTCCAGATCCGGAGAGCCACCTGCCTGCCTTCTGAGTTGCTGGGATTAAAGGTACGTGCCACCACTGCCTGGCCTCTATGGCCAGCTAATAGTTTAGCTCTGCACTCTGATTTTCAGGCAAACTTTATTTGTTCGTTCAAAAGCAACACATCACTATACCTTTACCCAGCACTAGGGAGGCAGAGGCTGCTAGGTCTCTGAGTTTGAAGCCAATCTGGTAATGTAGTAAGTTCTAGCAATGTCAGGGCTACACAGTGAGACCCTGCCTAAGATTAAAAAAAAAAAAAAAAGGGATGCTGGGGAGGGGGGGGAGGCATGTTACTAGGAATGTAAAAAGAAATCTTTCCCATGAAAAGACAGTTGTAAGGCGGACAGTAAAGTACCTGACCCTGCCCCTTCCTGTAAATGTTTGTCCATGCAGGCAGGCATGGTTTGCTGGAAGGGTAAGTGGTCTTTAAATCAACGAAACTTATGTGTATTAAGAACTGAGCCAGGTGGTGGTGGCACACGCCTTTAATCTCAGCACCTGGGAGGAAAAGGAAGGCGGGTCTCCAGCCTGGTCTATCCTAGTCTATCCGGCCAAAGTTACAGAGAAACTCAGAAACTCAGCCTCGAAAAGTAAACAAGAAAAAGACTAAGAGACTGGAACATCCAGCTCCATCCAACCCAGCTCACGAGCCTTGTAAACTGCTGGCCTGAGAGAGTCCTGGAGCCGCTGCTCTGGGGCTTTCTAAAACCCCAGGCTATGCAGACTCTGGAGGGCAAAGGTAGTTTGCTTCTCTTCTCCATTATTCTCTTTCGTGGTAAATGGTAACAACGCAGCACAGTTATTCTTACAGCAACAGTCACAATGACCTACGCTTCCTAGAGTACTACAAAGTCTCTATCACTGACTAGTCACCAGCAGGAAGGCTGGTGTCAGAGGGATGGCCCACTGCAGGCCCATGGGATCAAATACCCCCTCTGACCTGTATAAGCACCAAGCATACATGCTGTACACACATGCCTGCAAACAAGCACTCACACACTATCTGGTTTTTCTCGGCCTAACATACCTGGAAAGACAGTATCTTAACTGAGAAAATGTCTCCATGGGATTGGCCTGTAGGACATTGTCTTAAATAAGCAGCGGATGAGGAAGGCCCAGCCTCTGTGGTAACTCGACCCTTGGGCTGGGGGTCCCTGACTTGAGGAAACCCTGGGGATAGGCCAGTAAGCAGCACTCCTCCATGGCTTCTGCCTTAGTTCTTGTCCTGACTTACGTCAATGCTGGACTGTAAGATGAACTATAAACTGAAATAAAACATTTCCTTCCCCAGGTTGCTTTTGGCCATGATGTTTTACCAAAACAGAAATAACATTTTCTTTGAAATAGAAATTCTAAGACACAAATATAAAATAAACATCATTAAAACAAAGAAAAGAGACAAAGCAAAACAAGTGCAGGAATTTGAGCAGCACAAGGGGGGGGGGCAAAATTTAGTTCCACTTAAAATGTATCTAAGTAAAAATTCTTAGGCAATTATACGTACACACACGCAAAAGAAAAAGTGTGCGTGCGCGTGTGTGTGAGTGTGTGTGTGTGTGTGTGCGTGTGTGTGCGTGTGTGTAATTGGCTCAAGCATCCAAAGCCCATAAGAAGTTGGCTCGTGCTCGTCTGAAACCAAACTGAAACCTGCTAAGATTGGAGAGAGGCTGGCAAAAGGCACCACAAGTGAAATGCTTGCTATGCCAGCATGAGGACTCAAGGTTGACTCGAGAGCCCACACAAGGTCAGCATGGCAGCTCAACACCTCAGACTCTCGTCTGGCCTCAATACATGTGCCATGATACTTGCCCACACTTACACAAATACACATACATCATAGTCACGCACACAAATTTAAGTTATGGGGAGGGGTCAGTTTAGAA